AAGCACTGTAGCTCCTTTGCTATTTTTGAAATCAGCCATCCAGCACTGGCTGCTCTTCACTCTCCTCCATCTGATTTGCTTTCAGACTCAGGCTGTAGCTTAGAAATGAGACAGAATTTAACAAGCAATCTCTGCTCCAGTAATCTTGCCAACACTGCTCCCAAGAGGATGGTACATTCCTCTAGTCTGAATAAAGACCCCCAAATGTCATGATGTTCATCAGTGTTCCTAAGCTCCAGCCCTGGGCATCTACTGTCCTGCACAGTGTCTTTTCCCTTACACAGCACACCTGATCCAGATCATCAGGTAATTATCAAGCTCTTTATCTGGATCAAAGTGTTTTAACCCCTTAACATTCCAGGCTTATTACATAATAAATAGGCTTGCTATTCAGTAACTATAGAGACTTCAGTGCAAACTAAAGGAGCTTTTCTAAGGTTATAGAAGTGTGTAAAAAAACTTGGTCCTCAGCTCCAGTTCTAAAGACCCACTCTTCCGCATAATAAGTCACCCCAGTGCATATAAACCTAAACAAAATATGTTCTTCAATATAAAACACTATTTTTGTTTTCTAAATTTTTTTTCTAAATTGTTTTATTTTCCAGCAATCTGTGAGTACTGGAAGCAATGTTTTATTTATGTTACAGCTTATACTTGTTTCAGTTGATGAATTGTGCATTTAGTTTGTATCAGTCTACTCCATGGGGTATGTTGAATAACACTGGGGGTATATCAAAACATTCTGACAGTAATCTTCATTTCCTTTCATTTAATTAGCCGGCCACACAATTATGAATAACTTAGTACAACTGTAAACTGAAAGCAAAACTAACATGGGTTTTCGAGCTTGAGGATCATTCAGGCTTTAACTACTGTTAGTAAAGGGATAATCACTTCATTCACGCACACAGCAGCACACAGTAAAGTGAATTAACTCTACTGTCATTAATTCCCTAAACTCCCATCACCCATTTGTTTAAATGTTTAAGTTATTGTATTCTGCACTTTTTAGCATTTCTCATACATCCAAACTTACTGCCAATACACCAACAGGGGGAGATATATCAACACATATCACAGATCTAGCCTGTTCTATCCTTTCAGAGAGAAAACAAGAATCTGTGTCCCAGTAAAGACTAACCCTAAATGCAGACAGACAGAGAGCAGCTTGCATGGTTTGCTGTTGATGGGTTTTGCATGATGAACTGCTTTACCAGGACACATTTTCTGAGGACTCTGTTAATATTTTTTGCATGTTGTTTAGGTAATGTATAATCTCCATTAATAAAGTACTGCTTTACTGTTCGTGTCAGATACTGCAGTTTTGGAAACACTAACATATTTCTATACCACAGAATGTCGAGGAAAGGACACAGTTTTCCAGCCAAGAAGACAGCAGTGGGCATCTGAAAGAGAAACAGTAACTTTAGATTGTGAATATAACACCACAAGCACAAATCCAATTCTGCTGTGGTACCAACAGGAAGATCACCACTCTCCAAAATATATTTTACTGAAACGTACATTTGGAGCTGGAGATACAGCAGCAGAGTTCAGAGAGAGATTTCACTCCAATCTCAATTCCAGCACAAGAACAGCTCCACTGATGATCCAGAAGCTGAGTGTGAGTGACTCTGCTGTGTATTACTGCGCTCTGCAGCCCACTGTGACTACATAACACTCACAACTCCAACAAAAACCTTTAGCTCAGCTCAGCTCACACTGATGATAAGAGATGCATGTAACATTTATAGCAGCAGTGTGTGTGGAACTCTCCAACAGGGTATAAATTATTTTTCTTGTTGATAGTATCAGACATTGAAATGAATATTCTAATTTTGTTTGTGTTAATAATATTATTATTCAAATATATGGATATATTCAATATTCCATCACAAAAACGTCACTACCATTCATGTAAAATACATGAATTAAACCCTATGGAGGACTAAGGAATGAGTAACAGTGAATAGTTGTCATATGTGTTCACCAACAACACTGAGTTACAGTCATTACTGTAAAATAGCACTTCCTGAATCTATTAACTTCAACTCAGTGGACAATTGACATTTCAGCTTGAAAGGATCAGATATCTGCTCAACATCCAGTGAACTGTGTCTTCAATAAACTTTGCTGAAACAGTATGTATTATTGAAAAGATCCAAAGCATTTGAAAAGGGATGTCTTTATAGAATAGTACAGGATTGTACACACTGTAGGGCATAACTTGAGTGTATAGTTATAATTACTGTAGCTGACAACACAATTAATATTTTCATCATAGGGCATGTAATTTAAATCATATAATAAAATGTAAATTACACATTAAACAAGAATTGTTCAAACATTTCCTGATTTAATGATTACGGATAAACACCATAAAATGAAGAACACAGAAACAAGAGTGTTTGTCAGTATTTCATAACTTCTCTTTGAACCTCTAGAATTCACCATCCAAAGTGGTTGGATCTCTCAGTGGTAAGAAACCACCATACGACCATTGCTGACTAGACATGCAATATGGTGAAGCATTGCCAGCACAGCAGTGACACTGGTATGGTAATGGTAGTGTGTGTGGTGTTGTTATGAGTGCATCATGCACAGCAGTCTTTCTGCATTTTTTTCTCGCGTCAATGTCACGGCTAAGTTGAGAGTGGTTTATCACCCAAAACACCCAGCCATAAGTGGCAATGAAGTGGGAATGAAGTTTTATAATGAGGAAATGTAAAGTATTAATGCCATTTCATGCATTAGACTAGTTCAGATAATACTGTAATGTACCAAATTTTCACTGAAAAGCCGTGAATATATGCTTCTTGTCATCGTAACACCACTACCAGACTGATTGATGCATAAACTTGTGGATTTTCTTGTTTCTCTAGTTAATGTTGCATAAACATATTTACTACATTTTGTCCACAGACATCCCCTTTTCAAGGGCTGAAATCACAATCTATCCACGATTTCTCTTTCTCACGAACACAAATTTAACATTAACAGATAAATCAGCCACGAAGAACACCAAGAGACAATAGTCCAAAGGAAAGGGGAAACAGACCAGAATACACACGTTCACACACACATTTTCACAACAGGTTGCAGGGGTGCCTGTGCCTATCCCAGCGCCTATTAAGAGGAATGAGCTTGTGATATTACATTTCTCTGGAGTACTGATAAAACTCATCTTTAGGAACACAGTTCTGATATAAATTAAAGCCTGTATATGTAGGTAATGTTCTGACACAGATGTAATGAGGGAAATTGTCCACAGGAGAGTCATTTAGTTTTTACTGAATACTTTTGTTCAGTCTAAAGTGGAAGGACAGAGAAGAACTGTTTCAATCATATTTAAGAACCAGTGTAGGATTTTTTTATGTAACACAAACAATTAACACGGACAGTTTAAAGACATTCACATTAAAGTTTGTCTCAAGTGAATAAGGATACAGTTTAGTTTCATAAGCAATATTAGTCCTTTGTGTCCAAATGATCTATTTTTCAACAGAAGAAAAAATGTGTATTTATGTAAATATATACAGGACATTATTAATTACTTAATAACTTCATGTTTGTCTCATACTTATTGTGATGATTGGAACATCTAAAACTGTGCAGTACTGCATGCACATGGACTGTGTGGGGACAGGAATGGTTAGATAGCACTTCACTGAGCTAAACCAAAATGAGGTGAAGAATCTGAGGAAGACCAAAACACACAATTATAGACCCTCTAGGTTTGAGAATAGAAACGTGAAATATTCTGCATTCAAAACTGGATTGTTTGGTGTCTTCAGTCCCCAAATATTTATCAACTGCTGTTGAAGGCAAAAGTGATGTGGCTGCTATCTTTATTGAATCATGTCATCTTTCAGCCTACCTTCTACCATACCTTCCGCTATGAGATGTTACGGGTCTAAGATGATGTGTAACTGTCATGAAGCCTTTATTGAGAGAAGTAATATAACCAAATTAAGAGAATTTGTGCTAGAAGACCAAAACTGGACATGATGAGCATGATGCAAAGAGGAGTAAGGTTGTTGAATCTGATAAGTCTAAATTTTTAATTGGGATTATTTGGATTGTAATAAACACAAAATGCAATCAACATCTAAGACTGCATTTTGAATGTGTGAAAAGACCTCCCCACAGATTTCTAATCTATTAAAAAGAAAATAAGTTGTGCTAAAGGCAAAGGCTGGACACACAAAATACTAAGAATGTAATACAAACTCAATTCTAAAATATCTTGGGACAGTAGGTAAAATACAAATAAAATTTAGCGGCCAGTAGCAGTCACACAACACAGGACAGTTATAATAATCAGGGTGATACAATATAAAAAGAGGAATATATATATATATATATAAAAAAAACCTACCTACAGGCATATATACAAATAGAAATATTACAGAATAGAAATGGTACGGGGCAATTTAACACTAGGAATCTTGAGAAAAATAAAAAAAATGGCACTGTTAAATAAATACATAAACAAAAAATTGGTGTGTTTCTGTGAGGGACATCACCACATGTGGACTTGGGAATCCTTTTACAAACTGTGGTCAATAAACACTGTTCATCGCTGAATCCACCATTGCAGTTGGAGGGCAGTTTAGTGATTAACATGCTCAAACACACTTCCAAACTGTGCTGGATACCAGCCCTCCAGGACTGGAGTTATGCACCTCTGGTTTAAAACTCTGTGGAAGCCATATATCAACAACATCCATCAACAGCTTAGGAATCTATAACACATCTGCACATCCTTACTAACACTGAAACATGTTAAACAACCTAGAACAAATGTCTAATAAGTTACACTCATGTAAAAATTTCATTAACAGTAAGCTTCAACTCTTTATGAAAAACTTCAGTATACTTCTGAAAAAATGACTTCCCATCACATTTTTACAACACCAGAAGGTGGAGCTCCAGTAAAATGAGTGAATGAGTCTCTGTTAGATCAACATTTTGACTTCTTTGAAGAGGAAAGTCAGTACTGACACTCTGAATCACTTTGTCTCTCTGAAGATCAGTCATGATGTTGCTCTGTGTCTTGGTGATCTTAATTCAGCTTAAAGGTGAGTAATTTAGAAGTGCAGTTATAATCAAGAAGGATTTTACTGAATTCAGAACAAAAACTAGTGACTGAAGAGAAATTTCACAGTTAAAATGTAATTAAAAATCTTTCTTTCATTAAAAAAATCTTCCCTCTTTACTTTTTTTTTCTTTCTTTATAGAAAGTACTGCTGCAGATGGAATGCAGCCACTCTTCTCTGAAAAGCATGTTTCAGAGGGAGCAGATGTCACCCTCTCCTGTAACTACAGTGCAGCTACAGGAAACACCTTCCAGTGGTATCGTCAGTATCCTGGATCCACACCAGAATTCCTCCTTTTTTTCAACGAGTACAATAATAAATCTGACCCTGCTCTTCGTCTGACAGCAGCGGCAAACAGACAAATGAAACGTGTGGATCTGAACATCTCTCATGCTGTAGTATCAGACTCTGCACTGTACTACTGTGCTCTGGTGCCCACAGTTACAGGAAACTCAACTACACTGTGCAAAAACTCACTCCACTCACACAACATTTCCTACAACAATGGTCTCCTCTGGTAAGTGTAAACAGAACATTCTAGAGGACTGTCTAAGCACACTTTCATATAACTGTACAAAAGAGCTTTTAGAGAGAACCTTTGATGCCATGTCGCCAAGACATTTACTGAAGAGCAAGTGACTCTCGTCTGCTTTTCTTATTCACAGATATGTTACTTGCTTATAATGACTGTCAACTGATTGTTGTGGGGAACTGCAACAATTATTTTATTAGATCATTCATCTCTTCATTCCTGACCCTGAACACTTCAGGGGTTTCCTCCCTGGCCCTGGACAGATTTGTGTCTACCTGAACTTAGTTGAACTTGTTGAAAATAAAAACATCAGATACAAGTCCCACATTTCAGAGATGGAGTTTTATGATTCCCCTCTGTACATTCTGTATGTAGTTTTTGATTAAATGAAAAACACAGTTTTCATTACAGAATTCATTATCCACACACTTTTCTGAGAGACCACAAAATGATTTAACTGCAAACTGCATTATAGATTGTAATCAAAGGAGAGTCAATGCATTATGAAATACAGAATAATGACAAATTTCTTCAAAAGGAAATTTCTTTAGGCATGCATGGACCAGAATTATACTTGGCTATTCGAGATATAGCTGGTTCACAGGGGTCTCCAGCTAAATGACAATCATTTATTTTTAAACAGGGATTAATGAGATTAAGTGGATAATTAAGGTAGTTTAAAATTACAGTTAACCAGCTGACTGTTGTATTATGGACATGAGATGGTGAGATCAAATATGTTCTCTCCTTTCAAAGCCCACCTGTGACTGGGGGTCCCAAAGGAGGAAGTACAGACCAGCTCCAGTTCAGCGATCCTGGTAGTGCTGTACAACTGCTGGAGCCTCAGTCAGTAGCAAAGTTGGGTTACTGGAATATCCTGTATTGATTAACTGTATTATTAAATGTTGTATAGGGTTCGATATATAACCTTTCTGAAAATGGGGCTGTATAGCACCAAAAAGCGTTCTTCAATTGTTACAATGTCAAGTTTGTAACAATAGAAAGAACCATTTTTGGTACTATATAGAGCCACTTTCAAAAGAGTTCCATATAGAACCATATACAACACATTCTCCATAAATCTAAAGAACGATTTCACCTTGAAAAGAACCATGTCAGCATGCCAATGGTTCTTTGAGTGTTCATGTTTCTATATAAAACCATTGTCCTTACAAATGAACCCTTGATGAACCACATTGTTAAGAGTGTAAGACCTATAGGACTGATGTATTTGCTCTCTATGAAGATGGATAAATAATCATTCTAATTCACTGTTCCTAGTGTGATATGTACATCGAATCATAGGGTCTCAAACACCCGGGGGGTCGTAGCTTTCTCACAGTTGTAACAGATGTGGAAACCTCAGAGTGTGTCAGAAGGTGGAGCTGTGTGCTTAAGTCATGAAGAAATCATAAGACAGACCTCATTTCTGACTTTTCCTCTTGCTGTCATTTTCTTTAACCATCATGTTCTTCTGTGCTTTTCTGATTCTTTCAGTATTAACAGGTAAGAGATACTTTAAACTCCTGTTTTTTATTCACATTATCTTCAGAATTTCTTAACATTAGCATTTCCATTTTCTTTTCTGACAGGTGACTCTTTTGAAAATGTGATAACATCTCACTGGTCTGTTAAACATGCCAGAGATGGTGAGAGTGTTACTCTCTCCTGCAACTACCATGTTTCTCCATACAACCTGTTTTGGTATCGTCAATATTCCAGATCCAAACCAGAATTCCTCCTTACCTTCACTGAATCTGGAGATCCTGTTAAAGCTGATTCGGTGGCACGGTTATCTGCTGTGGCTGATAAAAACAGCACAGTTATGAATCTGATAATCTCCTCTGCTTCAGTACCAGACTCTGCTCTGTACTACTGTGCCCTGACGCCCACAGTGACAGGAAACCCAGCTACACTGTACAAAAACACTGTGTGGAATGGAGCTCTGCACTTGATCATGTATTTTTTGTTTGTATACAATGTGTAACTTGTTGACCATTGTTCCATGAAAATGGTGGTTTAAAAACCTACCAATTCCACTGGACTACCAATGGAATCGCTGTTGCTGTTACAAGTAGTTAATGACCTACATTTGCTGTGACTCTTACCTGCCTGAAGTCACTTTTGTTTTGTCTCAGAGAGCATTAAAATAAGTATTACAAAATATTTAGACCCATCATGCCTAAATCCAGATCAGACTTCTGCTTAAAGCTATACTAAGTAAAGCTTTGAGATTTGTAGACCTCTCTCATGGAAATGTGTAATTCCACACAAAGCAGTAGGACATTTTGTAATATCATTTGTACTTCAGAACCCACCAACCCATCATGCAGAGTGACAGAGGGCCATCCTACCCACACAGAGAGAGTGAAACCAGTTGTGATCTCTTTGACTCCTGGTCACAGACAGCTATAGTATCACCAGGGATCAGACTCATGATCATCTGATGATGGAGCCATCACTTACAGGGTTTCACCACAGAACAGATGACATAGGTTAGCCCTTTTTTCTCCTGACTCAGTAATGCTACTTCTATCAGTTTTAACAAAACAAATCTTACATTGTGCAGATTTAAATGATGAGGTTAAGACAGATATTCAACAGTAAACAAACAGACAGAGAAACAGTAAGATTAACATCTCTTAGCTAGCTAGGTCATTTCAAGAGCAAAGCTTTAATTAGTGTCTTTGGTAAATATACAAAATATTTATATTATGGACCCTCAGGTTGGTCTTTGGACTTGATAAAATAATCCCCATAGATAGGATGCTACCGAAGAGAAATATGAAAAAAAACAATATAGTTGTACAATTATTTTCAATTATACAATTATTTGCTTTTAAGAATATTCTTAAAAGAAAAATCTATCATGTGTATGTGTACATATTTTAATGTATATTGTACGCTTGTTGGGTGGCATGGTGACCAGGGTCCTTTCTGTTTTGAGTTTGCATGTTCTCCCCGTGTCTGCATGAGTTTCCTCCCACAGTCCAAAAAGATGCTGTGTTTAGCTCAATTACATTTAGATCTGGTTACATGAAAGATCAGTGCATTAAGCTCAGTTCTGGCAGTCAGGTTCAGATATACTGTGGTGTTCAAATGTGATTTCAAATAGCCATGAAAAACAACTGTGTACCATGAAAATACACCACATATCATCATCCTATCATTAACAGACTGACAGATTCATCAACTCATGTGAGATTTTCTCTATACTGCAATTAGCATGCACAGCTATTTAGAGCTATTTACTACTTCATACACACCTTTTTTAGAACCACAGACAGAAACAAAATAAATACATAAAGTTAAAGATGGAGAGACGTTGGTAACTTCCTGTGGAAAAGCAGGAACACGGGTGAAAATCCTCATGGCAGTGGATTTTCCTGACATGATGAATTTATCTACGGTTACCTCAACTAAGACAAATTCTCATAAACAATCTGCTACTACAACAAAGAAAATGACCTTTTTGGTTCATTCTTTTTTGTTATAAATTTTTACCTTTTTTGGTTTATGTTTCCTGTTGCAGTTTCTTATAACTGCACTCACTTTAGAGAGATTCACACAAACACACAGATCAGCATTAGAGAACTTAAACACATTACTGATTCCAGTATTACTGTATAAAGGTGCCCAACAACGGCATTCTTATGGGCATACATCAGATCATATATTTGAGTCTACTACATGCAGATATTCCACTGAGCTCATTGTTAGAGAAGTTAGACTGTCAGATACAGCTCTCTACTCTCAGTGATACAAAGTCTCTAAGAAGCTTTACAAAAACTCATAGACCTTCTTCCTTTGAACACAAGCAGATCAGTGCAACATCTGAACCACAGTGCATTATTTGTTATTCTACTCTATATGTAATGGCTGTTTGAAGAAATATATGACAAAAATGGAAGTGAATACACTTGTTATTTAAATAAAAATTATTATTATTATTATTATTATTATTATTATTATTATTATTGCTGTTGTTGTTGTTGTAGATAGAGAATTCACTATGATCCACTCAGACCAGCACAACACACACTAATACAGCACCACCACATCAGTGTTACTGCAGTGCTGAGAATGATCCTAGTAAGTGGAGCCGATGAAGTGGACAATGAGTGTAGAAACAAGGAGGTGGTCATAATATTATGCCTGATCGGTGTATGCACCTGTTACAATCATCTTACTCATCACACATTCAGAATCAAATCCCACACACAAAGAGCTGATAAAAATAGTTCATATTCATTGTAAATCTCTATTTGAAAATTCCCCCTCAACCTCAAACTGGGTTAATTTTACTTGCAGAAATGTTATAACCGTTAAATGTGCAGTGTGGGTGTTCACATTGTGCAGTGGACTGGACAATGGGCTGACCTGGCATAACAGCTTTCCTCTGTCTGTGAGTTATTCTGTTGATCCAGTTTACTGGCCCTATTCTACTTTCCTGTTGGAGTGTTACTGTTCTGCACCTCTATCATTCTTCCTTGCTCTTTTTTTATAGCACAAAGAGATTTCAGAGAGCTGTGTCTTTTTCCTCTGTACCTGTGCAGCAGCTGAATTCAGGATGAACTTTTGAAGATTTAATGATATTTCACAGAACATAAGCTGAATATATCTGCAGTTATTATATGAATGAATGAATTGGTAAGATTCTGAGCTTAGGAGGTTGTGACATTACACTAGTCCAGTGTGACATCACAATTTACATTTTATTTATAGGTGTGTGTGTTGTCATAGTGCTATTTAGAATTGTTGAAATGTAAAGACTAGACCGTTGTCCATGGCAATCATCTAATGAAATATCAACATATTACTCTGTAGTGGCTCAGTCTTCATGTGGACTCTTTACTACACTGATGTTGATTAAAACTACAAGTACATTAAAATGGAAGACCTGAAAGTCTTTCATATTCAGTTTGGTTTTTTGTCATTTTGAGATTTTTCTTTTTCTATTTTTGTATACTTTCACTGTATATGTTTACACTCTAAAAGTTATTTAAACATGTATAGCATACTTTGCATCTACTGAAAAAATAAGGGTTAAAGTTATTTATACAATTTGCAGACACTGGTGAAACACCTAGCTGATTCTAAGTAATACTTCATGAACACAACTGATTTGACTAAAAACTAAACAGCTTTTGACAACACATTTTATATCAGCACAAGCAAAAGATTTAACAGCCTTATTATAACTAGAGTCAGATGTTGAGTGTTTATTTCAGAGGCTGCAACTTGAGCCAGTCTGTACAGTTCTCTACAGAATATTACCAGCTCTTTCTGTGTAATAATCACTGTTAATTCCTGGTTTGAGTATAATTAATAAACATTGTCCTGTTGAAAGGTATATTTTCAGCAAAGCTTCAGTTTGTTAGGTTCCTATTTTCTCTTACAGTACTTTCTGTTTATGAAAATAAGAACCTAAGAATTCACCTTTCAGCAAGTCAATGATTCCAAGCACAAGGCCAAAGCAACAGTTACATGTGTCAAAATATGTATTTGAGGGCCTAGTCCTGACTTTGATCCCATTCATAATCTGTGGCAATACTGAAAACTGCAGTTTAGCACCATCCAACCAACATAATCAACTTGCTGTGAATCTGCTAAGACAAACAAGAAACAAAAATATTCATGTTCAGGGTTTGAACACTGGTGAAGTTTGTTTCATTTTCATTAACACTCCTATTATCTTTTGATCACATTCAGTGTTTACCATCTTTTTTTATTCTTATTTAATGACTTTTCTTAATTTAATGGGGACAATTGGGTAAACATTAAATTCACATCAGGATATGTCCTGTTTTCAATGTCCTGTACACATTTTGTATGCATCAGTGGTTGTTTTGGATGATACTGGGGTCAAAATAACACACAATTTTAGAAACTTCAAAAAAACTTCGCTCTGTTTTAGGGCCCTAACCTAACATAACCACACCTGTAACACACTTAGCCTAACATAATCAAACCTGTAACACACCTAACCTAACATAATCAAACCTGTAACACACCTAACCTAACATAATCACACCTGTAACATACCTAAACTAACATGATCACACCTGTAACGTACCTAACCTAACCACACCTGTAACATACCTAACCTAACATAAACACACCTGTAACATACCTAAACGAACATGATCATACCTGTAACATACCTAATGTAATATAACCACACCTGTAACACACTTAACCTAACATAACCACACTTGTAACATATCTAATCTAACATAACCACACCTGTAACATACCTAACCTAACATAACCACACCTGTTGCATGCCTAAACTAACATAACCATACCTGTAACATACCTAACCTAGCATAACCACACCTGTAACATACCTAACCTAACGTAACCACACCTGTAACATACCTAAGCTAACATAACCACACCTGTAACATACCTAATCTAACATAACCACACCTGTAACATACCTAACCTAACCCACCTGTACATCGTAACTACTCCCACCTGTAACATACCTAACCTAACATAACCACACCTGTAACATGCCTAAGCTAACATAACCACACCTGTAACATACCTAATCTAACATAACCACACCTGTAACATGCCTAAGCTAACATAACCACACCTGTAACATGCCTAAACTAACATAACCACACCTGCAACATACCTAAGCTAACATAACCACACCTGTAGCAGTGCAAGAACCACCACACCACATGGGCGAGGGGAAAACAGGATTCCCACCAGAATTTTTATATTTCTCTGAGGTTTAAATTGCTGGTGTCAAATTGACCCCAAGGATAAAAGGTGTTAATGAATTTTTGTAAATTTGAGGATAACAGGAGGGTTAAGATGGCTGCAGATAAACATCTTAATATGGACTTATTTTTATTTAGTTAGAAAATGTGGATTGACTTTCAGTGTAGCTTGAAACTTTGCAAAGGCACTGTAACTCCATCCGTTTTATTTCATTATTTTGATATTTTCCATGAGAGTCTGTACAAAAAGTTATTTCCTTACTACACCATGATATCAGTGAACCACAAACTCAGATAAAGACACTGCTAACACCTGCTGCTGGAACAAATAGAAAACAAACTGCACATTTTAAGGTAAGGTTATCATCTGATGAATGTATGGTTTACTGTTAGCAGTGTTGAACTGTTCAAGGCAATTTTATACTGTTTCACAATATCATACATAAATACAATTATTCAATTATGAAGATAAGTTAAAAAGACATGTAAGCGTCCATTTTATTTATTTTGGCTATCCAGAAGTTGTGTGAGTATGTGTGTGTGACTACTATATCTAGAGAGCCACTTTGACATTATCACATTTAACGATCATAAACAAACACGCAATTCTAAAATGGCACACAAATGTACCTGTTAACTTTGTTACAAACATCTTACACATCACACATTCAGTATTCAATCCCACACACAAAGAAGTGACAAAAAATAGCTGATATATTCTTGTCCCAACTATGTTTAATGTCATTATTGAGCATTTTGCTTTGGCACAATAGATTTCATATTTTAATCAAGAGATTCTACCTTACATTCTGTTTGTTAAAGTGAATATTGTGTTTAATGCAGTAAAATGAAAGTGTCAGTGGCTGGATATAGAAACAACGTGAAAGATTAATATGAAATTTGCCAAACCAGAAGAGCATTTAGTACTCAAACATTTAAGACCTTCATTGATTTAATAGTTTAACATTTTTTTTCATTTTAATTTTCATTGCATTCATTGCATTCATTAATCATTTGTTTTAGGTTCATGCTTGTGGTTCCACTTTTATTCATGCTTTTACTCTAAACAAAGACAGAAAGCACAGTGGAGCAGCTGCCCAGAGCAGGAGTTTCCTGTTTCCTGTTGTAGTTTCTCATAACTGCACTCACTTCAGAGAGATTCACGCTAACACACAGATCAGCATTAGCACTGAGAGCTTAAACACACTACTGACTCCATCAGATCATATTCACAATGAAGAGAAACCTCCTCATCATTCTCATCATCACATCAGGTACTCACTGTGAAGATGTGTTCAAGAATCTTTGAAAAATTAAAGTTTGTTACAATTTTAAAAGTTCTTTTTCTTTCAGGTGTGTTTGGTGCTGATCAAATTCGACCATCAGTAGATCAGGAGACTGATGTTCTTAGCAAAGAGGGAGAATCTGTTACACTGAAATGCTCTTATGAAACAAACAGTGAATATGTCCGGCTGTACTGGTACAGACAGTATCCTAACAGAGCTCTACAGTTTGTATTGTCAGAAGGTGCTCGATCATATAGCGGTGTCGATACTGCAGATAAAAGATTTTCATCTTCTACATCCAGATCATCCACTGAGCTCAGAGTTAGAGAACTAATACTGGCAGATACAGCTCTCTACTACTGTGCTCTTAGAGTTGGAGCACAGTGATACAAAGTCTCTGAGACACTTTACAAAAACTCACACACCTTCTGTTTGCTTTGAACACAAGGAGATCAAAGTAACATCCAAACCACAATGTGTTATCTGTACTCTTTCTAAAATGAATGTGGTAATAAATAAAAAATGTGATGAGTGTGGCAGACACAGGATACATGTTAAGTGGTGTGCACACTAGAATTTGATAATCCAAGTGGAAGAATACAATAATCCAAGTGGAAGAAACAAAGAACAATAAATGTTAAAAAATAAATAACGAAATAAAATGAAAAGACTAAAGTTTTTAGAACAAAAAAATAATTATTACCCAGAAACGAGGAACATGAGAGAGTTATCCACACAATATATTAGTAATAAGTTAGGATCACAGTAAACCTGCAAGCAAATTGATAAAGAAATGAGTCATGACAGCAGTGTATCCTTTCTCTCCTAGCACTGCTTTTAGGTAAGATAGTTTTAAAATCCTGTTGTGAGTGAAACAAAGTTTTGCATTTTAAATGTAATAGTAGACACTTTTAAAAGGCTTTGTAAGATTGCACTGTCTTCAATATTGTTCCCTTTCCAGGAGACACATCAGCCCAGACAGTTGTGCCAATTGCAGGAGAAATGCATGTTTCAGAGGGTGATAATGTTACTCTGTTCTGCAATTATGAAACACAAGTAATCAAAATGCATATTCAGAATACACAAATTAAGTATCTGAATTCAGTTACATTCTGAAAAGGCAACAATTCAAATACAATTAATTTACATTTAATTTATTAATTTATACATTTAGAATACTTATTAAATTACTTTAGAATACCCACTAAATGAAAAGAATCACTATCACACTTGTTTATGAACTTCATTAAATCATTGCATAGCATGTAGCAACTAAGCTCATTCATGATGACGAATTGCAAAAAGGGACTTAACAAAAGGGCTTCTTTACAAACACTGAGCTTCCTGCTAAAGCCTGAGTAGATGGATAAACCAGTGATGACACAGTTATTTATCTGTGTTACTTAATGTTAAATAAAATGGATACTTTCAGTCCCTTCAAAGCCATTGTAAAATAAATCATAAACGCAGGCTGACCACCTCATATCAGCTGAACTCTGTTTTATTTCACCATGTCACAAAAAGATCTTGTGCTGTTAATGCAATTATCCTTGACTGTAATGCTGCTGACATAGACCACTGAGTGTACTGATGAAGTAAGAACCTGTTTTTATTTAAACTGAGGGGCTGAAACTTATTTTCTTAACTAGAACTAGGCTGATCAGCTAGCAAACAGCTAGCAAACATGCTAAAAAACACCATCATTGATTTCATAGGCTTGAATCGATGTACCTACAATATGATTAACTGTAAAACTGCAGTATAAAAGTCTAAAGATTGTCGCTTGGTTGGTTTACATGCTTCAAATGTCTGTGTTTCAGTCAGACGTATCATCAAACTGTAAGGAAAACTCTCCAGGCAGATTGGAATCCATGATACCCATTTACTCAAACACACAAAGCCAGAATCAGAGCCAACACAGTCCAAAAGTCAAAAACCAGAAAAGTTCACAAAATAGCAAAAGTACCAAAAGGGGAGATCAAAAGCAGAGTCCAAGAGTTCAGAAAAGGGTCAAGGTAATCCGAAAAACATCAACAGTCTAGCAGGAACAAGGCTTGGTATGCAGATAAACTGGCAATACTCCGCAGTGAGCCAGTGTTACTGAAGGTTCTTAAATATGTAGGTAAATGAGCTGCAGATGAGAGGGGTCAGAGTGAAACTAGGAAGTACGTCAGTATTCAGGTGAAGCTGACCTCTGGTGGCGATGGCGGGTATTACACCTGACACAAACCCAGGCTAAATCTCATACGGCTCCATACTGCCTAAACAGTGAGCTATGTAAGTTTTGGAATTCTAGCTTCTACAGCCAAATAGTCCACTGTTTGTTCAGCATGGATGTGGCTGAATCCCAAATTATTGACTATTTTCATGTCTCTATTGACTATTTTCATGTCTCTCGGATCTCAGTGCATTGTATTTATTAAATTGGCTTGACAAATCCTACTTACTTTTCTTTGTTATCCTCTTCTTATTATTCAGTTGGTTTAGCAGCCTACTGTTCATATTTTTCTTCTTATTAATATTCTACACTCAAAAATCTGTAAACATGTATTATTAAATAAATGTTAAACTATAAAACTTGACACAGAAATTCATCATATGTGGGAACAGTGTGTACAAATCTATCTGCCACAAATGATGTCACAGTGGACGACCCTTACAATGACCAACATAGATATGTGTGTGTGTGTGACTCTACTGGCATTAAATTAGTTTCTAGCAGCTTTTGGACCAAGAAGAATAACCTCTGTTCTATCTGAGTTGAGTAGGAGGAAGTTATTCGAGATCAAGTCTTTTATTTCTTTCACACAGGCCTTAATCGTATTACGTTGAAGTTTATCATCTGGTTTGGTCAATATATAGAATTGTGTGTCACCAGCATAGCAGTGGAAACTGATGCCATGTTTATGATAATGGTACCCAGTGGTAGCTTAAATAATGTGAATAATAGAGGTCCTAAAACAGAGCCTAAAACAGAGCATTACTCTTGTAAGAACAGATGATTTGCCGTTTACATTCACAAACTGAAAGCGATCAGTCAGGTAAGATCTGAACCAGGAAGTAATAATAATAATGAGAAGAACTAAATTAAGCTTTGCTTTGCTTTGCTTTGCTTTGCTTTGCTTTGCTTTGCTTTGCTTTGCTTTGCTTTGCTTTGCTTTAATATGGGCAGCACGGTGGCGCAGTGGGTGGCGCAGTGGGTAGCGCTGTTGCCTCACAGCAAGAATGGCCTGGGTTCGCTTCCCAGCCAGGCGACCAGGGTCATTTCTGTGTGGAGTTTGCATGTTCTCCCTGTGTCTGCGTGGGTTTCCTCCGGGTACTCCGGTTTCCTCCCACAGTCCAGTCAGGCCAATTGGACATGCTAAAATTGCCCCTAGGTGTGAATGTGTATGTATGTCTGTCTGTCTGTCTGCCCTGCGATGGACTGGCAACCTGTCCAGGGTGTATCCTGCCTTCCGCCCAATGACAGCTGGGATAGGCTCCAGCACCCCACCGCGACCCAGAAGGATTAGCGGTTTAGATGATGTATGTATGTATAATATAATATAATAAAAATTACCCAGAAATAAGGAACAAAGGAGATATACTGACAAAAAAAGTTGAAATGAAGATGAGTGTGAACCTGTATGAAATGACTGAATTTAAAGAAGTGAGGCATGACAGCAGTATATTATGAGTGTATGAGCTGCATTATGGGTGGAGCTGTGTATCTCAGCAGAGAGCTACACTAATCCCATTCAGCTCTGACTCTGCTCTCAGTCACTTCACATCTCTATCAACATGCTGCTCTCTATCCTTTCTCTCCTAGCACTGCTTTTAGGTAAGAGAACTTTAATGAGAACACTCTGAAAATAAATGCTTTACAAATAATACACTGTGTTTTTAAGTAGATACATTTATGTGTCTAGTTAAGGACAACATATTTCATGCTACTTTTAATGCAGAATGTCTTAAAACAGATAATAAGTCACAAAATTTGTTAAAATGGAAACATACAAGCAGTGTTGTTGTTTATTACATTCCTTTATTGTGAAAATAGTTAATTAAATTAGTGTTTTATTTTATTCATTAATGTTCTGTTTCTAGGAGACACATCAGCACAGACAGTTGTGCCACTGGAAGGAAAAATGCATGTTTCAGAGGGTGATAATGTTACTCTCTCCTGCAACTACAGTACCAGTGATACTAATTATGCTCTTCAGTGGTATCGTCAGTTTCCCAGATCCAGGCCAGAGTTTCTCCTGTACATTTATCCTCAGGGAGCTAAGACTGATCCTCTTCCTCCTCGTATGTCTGCTGAAGTGGATAAAGACAAAAAGCGTGTGGATCTGTTGATCTACTCTGCTGCAGTATCAGACTCTGCACTCTACTACTGTGCCCTGCAGCCCACAGTGACAGGAAACCCAGCTACACTGTACAAAAACCTGTGTAAATGTGACAGTTCAACTCAGGTTACACATAGTCTATAGACTGTGTGTCAACTATAATTGAACTCTTCAATACATTATAAAAGAAGAAGAAAAATCTAAAGACACCCTTGTCTATGAAGCAATTTATACATGCAGTGTGACATAAAGTACCACAAGGTGGCAACACCATTTTTAGGTTTCAGTCCTTATTTACACTGGACAGACATTAATATTTTTAAAAAAAAAAGTATTTTGCATGTCTCTGTAGTGTAATACTGTGCTGTGATATTAGTACAAACATAAGCTTTTTAGTATTATTTAATCCCTCATTCCCCAAAGATTTTAAAAGAAAAATGTGATTTGTGTTGTCCTGTTACATTTTTATGAATTATGTTACTCTGTTACTGTTCAGTATCAGTCTTCATCACTGACTGTTATTGTTCATCACTGTTTTAAACAAAGGTTTGTTTTTTTTTTATCATAAAACTAGGGGGAAAATGCAATAAATTAATGACTGACATGATATTTGGCTATAAAAAAAGGATGCCATACCCAGGTAATCTTAGCCAAGGGCTGAAGTTAGCCACACTTCCCTCTACAATTTTTGTGATGTCACCCCTTTTCATTGAAAGACTCAAACAAATTATGTTTAAAAAACAGACAAATACACATTCATTTTTGGGCTATGGTTTTAAATGCTGAACAGAGACAGATATAACTGAATAGTTTAACTGATTCCTATAAGTTATAAACAGCTGTAAATGAAATAACTCAGTCCTCAGTCCTGAATCAGATTCATTTTGACCTATTTTACTTAAGATGGAACTGAATTTGGCGATCTATTCAGTTAACTGACTATGAAAATGCATCGCTAAACAAAGATTATTAAAGATCTACATTTTGAAGTTCTGCATCATCACTACTATCCAGGTAACCAAAAAGTGTAGTCACACACATCATCCACTTTATCTGACATAATATTATAGCACATCTGTCTCACAGCATCTTTAGGGCATCCATCATAAAAAGGGTATATAATTCTAAAATTAAACAGCTATTACGTACCTAGCATGCCCCAGCAATCTTCAGAGATAACATAGCAATGGCCTTGTAACACCTTAACAAACACCTGAGAGAACATACCAACAGCCTATCCCACCTGTGAAACCACAGGTACCACCTAGACGCACTGTAGCATACTGTAGGATGCTGCAGCAACGGCCTAGCAACAGCTTAGCAACCACTTGGAATACTAAAGTAATGGCCTAGCAACACCTTAGCAATCACTTAGGATAACACAGCAATGGCCTAACAACACCTTAGCAACCACTTGGGATACTAAAGTAATGGCCTAGCAACACCTTAGCAATCACTTAGGATGAAACAGCAATGGCCTAAAACACCTTAGCAACCACTTGGGATACGAAAGCAATGGCCCAGCAATACCTTAACAGCCACTTAGGATAACACAGCAATGGCCTAGCAACACCTTAGCAACCACTTAGCATACTAAAGCAATGGCCTAGCAACACCTTAGCAAATACATAGGATAAAATAGCCTTGTAACACCCTACCAACCCCCTGGAATTACTTTATGAACCTAATTAATTTTTCAATCAACATCTATCTAACTGCTTTAAATTCACAATCTCTACTCTTCCAGTTTCTTTTTTTTTGCTATCATTATTGGTGTGGTTGGCTTCATTAATAATATTCAGATTAGAAAATTATGTTTTATGTCCTGTTCTCTTGCTCTAGTTTCACAGATTGTAGTGAAGTTACAACTGTTTTAGTGTATCTCACACCAAAGACTCTAAAGAGGCCTTGATAATATGTAACAAAAATCTTCTAAAGAAAGAACTGTGTATACCTAATTCCTATAGGAATGGTGGCGCTGTTGAGTGTGTCCTCTTCTAGAATACCTCGACCAGTTTGCATTGAAGTCCCTGTAATTACTGAATATTAAGCTTTAGTATGTAATAAGCCTGGGTTTTTAAGGGGTTAATGTTTCTCAATAACGTCTTTTATGTGTGAACATGTTAAAAAATGAAAAAGAAGCACTAGAACTCAAATAGCAAAATCCCCAGTGTCTGATTAACACCAAAGTACAACTGAACACAAATGAACACTGTAAGAGTTCATTCAAGACTGGAGATTTTCCTGTGTGGCTACATCTGTTACAAAATAACCCAGTTAAAACAAGATTTATTAAAAAGCTGCATTTCTGCATGCATTAATACTAATTTTAATTATTTTTATTGTTATGCGTTTATTTAACTATTCTTGATTAATTTTGTAGGCTTTTGCTGGTGGTTGTGCTTCTATTTCCACTTCAACCTTCCACAAAGACAGAAAGCACAGTGGAGCAGCTCCCCAGAGCAGCAGTTTCCTGTTGTAGTCTCTCATAACTGCTCTCACTTCAGAGAGATTCACACTAACACACAGATCAGCATTAGAGCACTGAGAGCTTAAACACACTACTGACTCCATCTGATCATATTCACAATGAAGAGAAACCTCCTCATCATTCTCATCATCACATCAGGTATTTACTGTGAGGATGTGCTCAGAAATATTTAGTTAATGGCATTGCACTACAATTTTAAATGCTCTTTTTCTTTTCTACTTTTCTTTCAGGTGTGTTTGGTGCTGATCAAATTGGACCAAATGATCAGGAGACATATATTTTTGGAAAAGAGGGAGAATCTGTTACACTGAAATGCTCTTATGAAAACAAACAATGATTATGTTTGGCTGTACTGGTACAGACAGTATCCTAACAGAAAAAAAACACAGTTTATACTGTTTAAAAATGCCCGTTCATCCAGTGGTCGGCATATACCAGACAGTTGATTTAGATCATTTACATCCAGATCAGGCACTGAGCTCACTGTTACAGAACTAAGACTGTACCCAGTGATACAAAGTCTCTGAGATGCTTTACAAAAAGTCACACACCTTCTGTTTGCTTTGAACACAAGGAGATCAAAGTACCATCCAAACAACAATGCATTATCTGTTATTACTGTCTGTCTGAAATGACCGAGGTTAAATTACTGAGGTGTAAAATAAAAAAAAAAAGTCAATGCACATGTGGCAAACAGAATACAGTTTAAACCTTTTAAAAGAGTTTTAGTGCATTTTTTTCTGATAACAAACACCATGTGAACTGTTTGAGGGTGAATGGAAATTCCAGGTGTAAACAGCTACATGTCCTGCTGTTCACTATAAGCAGGACTGGGTTGATTCGGTTTTGTGCAATTTTATACTTAAGTTTGTGTCTCTTTGTAAGGTCACACAAATTCTTGAGTCATGTCTCAACTAGTAACTAAAAATGTGTACATCACTTTAACCTGATAATGACATGTTCAGAACTAATCTATTAACCCATTACCATTGAAATGCATGCCAGCTTGCGCTGTCTTTGTCCATGGAACAAATATCCAGTATAGAAAACATTAATGTGAAAAAGTTGAACTGAATACCTAAAGCCATTGCCTGATTATTCTTCTATTTTTCCTGGTGACACCCATATACGCAGCTTTTTCTGGTCAACCAACACAAAAACAACATTAGTGCTGTATGATGATAATTATATCTGTACAATCAAAACATATAGTGTTTAGTGCTTTAAGTGTATTTAATTAAAAATGTGTTTTTAGTTTTCTTTGTGCTTTCTGTGTGGTTTCCATTGGATTTCTCAACAACTGTGTAAATATTTAGTGACTACTAAGCTCAGTGTTAAAACAATTGTGTTAAATTGTGTTAAAACCCATGTTGAACTTAGTAACACTTACATTATAATTACTTGTTACCAAATATGATCAGAGCCTGAGGGATAAAATTGTTATTAAATGATTTAACTCACACTTTCATTTTCATAAATTACACATTATACTCTTACTTGAGTGTTTTGGCAGCCTTCTCTTTGGTATTTCATGTTAGTTAAATTGTATGTGTCATACTAGAACTAGCCAGCTAGTTTGGTTGGTTTTGTTTACATTTTTATGTATGTGAAATATGAGTTCTGTTCCTCTGGCCAACCACCCTTTACTTAATCCAATGCTGTAAGTGTGAGTTAAGCCAATAAAGAGCATTGCGTCTTTGTCCTGCCTCTTTTCTGGAGTCATCACAGTATATCTGGAAAAATACTAAATTTAAAGTCATATTTTTAATCATTCTTCATCCTCGTTGGTGTTTTTGTTGTCCATTAGTCACACTTTCACACCCATGGGTGATTTAGTGCACAGGCTTACCTGGCTTTAAAGTGATTACCTACTTAAGTAGTCTTTTCTCTACAAACTTACTCTTACTCAAGTAATTATTTAGATGACTACTTTTACTTCTGTTTGAGTGTGGCAGGTCAGAATTACCCAGAACTGAATAATGTAATGCTTTAAGGTGTAGCAGAGTTTCTTCTATATACATACAGACATCATTATAGTAATCTTTCAGCAGGGGGCAGATTTCTTCTAGAAATTGATTAAGAACTGACGTGTCATGTGTCACTGGGCTGTTCTAAAGTAAAGTTTCAGACACTCTACAGCAAAAACTGAGCTATAAGAGACACTGTTCAGTCATGGCATGTCTTGGTGGATGGTGGCTTCTATTCCTCATTTTAGGTAAGATATGATACATACAATTAAAGCAATTATTTTTCAAACAAAAATTTATTTTGCATCACCTAAACACACCATAGAGGAATTATCCAGTTTATCAAAGTCTTAAACTTTAACAATTTCATTTATAACTTTAAAATATATTCTGTTCAGCAGGTTACTGTTCTGGTGAGGGAATAGAACCAAGTTCTTCCACTGTTAATGTCCTACAGGGAGATTCTGTTACTCTGTCCTGCAGTTACACTGGATCTGCTGGAAATGACTATCTGCTGTGGTATCGTCAGTATTCCAGATCCAGACCTGAGTTTCTGATCTCGGTCAGTGAAACTAACTTTACACAAAATGCTGTTCCTCCAGTTGTTGGAGTGTCTGCAATTGTAAATGAAGAGAAAAACCAGGTGGATCTGTTGATCTCCTCTGTTGCAGCATCAGACTCTGCACTCTACTACTGTGCACTGAGGCCCACAGTGACAGGAAACCCAGCTACACTGTGCAAAAACTGTTTGGCAGTCAGAACTCAGTAGCATTTCAAAAAATCATTAATCATTAATCAAAAAATTATTTAAACCCCAATTCCAAAAAAAGTTGGAATCCTGTGTATAATGTAAATAAATGTAAATAAAACAGACTCAATGTTTTGCAAATCTCATAGACCCATATTTTTTAATTCACAATAGAACATGTATCAGATGCTGAAAGTGAGACATTTTACCATTTCACCAATCTGTGAAAAACTACGCCTAAAAATTGTGAAACAATTTCATTAAAATTTTTCTCAGCGTAAAATTGCGAAGACTTCGGATATCCCACCATCTACAATACATAATTTCATCAAAAGAATCAGAGAATCTGGAGAAATCCCTGTACGCAAGGGACAAGGCCAACAGTCAATATTGGATGCTCGTGATCTTCGGGCCCTCAGACGGCACTGCATTAAAAACAGGCATGATTCTGTACTGGAAATCACTGCATGGGCTCGGGAGCACTTCCAGAAAACAAAGAAGAAGCCATAGGTCAACAAGATCCACCACCGTCTTCTCTGGGACAAAGCTAATTTAAAATGGACTAAGGTAAAATGAAAAACTGTTCTGTGGTCAGATGAATCAAAATGTGAAATTCTTTTTGGAAACCACGGACGCCGTGTCCTGCGGACTCAAGAGGAGATGGACCATCCATCTTATTATCAGTGCACAGTTAAAAAGCCTGCATCTCTGATGGTATGGGGTTGCATTAGTGCCTATGCCATGGGCAGCTTACACATCTGGAAAGGCACTATCAATGCTGTACAGTATATAGAGGTTTTAGAACAACATATGCTTTCATACAGACAACGTCTCTTTCAGGGAAGGCTAAAAAGTTCCAGCACATGGCCTCCTCACTTCACAGACGTTGACAGACTGTTGTTAAAAGAAGAGGGGATGTTACACAATGGTAGATGTGGCCCTGTCCCAACTTTTTTGAGATGTGTTGCTGCCATCAGGTTCTAAATGAGTTAATATTTTGATGAAATGGTAACATTTCTCACTTTCAACATCTGGTATGTGTTCTATGTTCCAATGTGAATAAAATATGGATCTATGGGATTAGCAAATCATTGCATTCTGTTTTTATTTATATTTATTTACATTTTACAGGAATTTTGGAGTTGAGAAACTCTTACAGAGTCATTGATGCCAAAATACTGTTTTAATTTTAGCCATCAAAACGTACCAAAATTAAAAGTAAAAGCTGTGCATTTATTACATTTCACAGTCAATTGTGTTCAATTCTGACACATTCAGCATTTTGTGTTTAAAATTCAAAGCCTTATGTATTGTTTTTCAGTAAAGAGGTCAAGTGACATGAAATCAGCATTATAGAGGGTTTGTTTTTTGCTTTGGCACATATTCTGCATGTCAGTATGGAAAAGGAATGTGCTTTGCATTTCACATTTTTCCACTCTAGTGATTAAATTTCAGTTTGGCATGAATTCCTCTACATAATAGGGCTGATGCTGAATCTCAGTATATGTTTGTGGTCGATGTAGCAGTTGGGAAGGTGATATGGGAGGGGGCACGATTGGTAAGCATGAAATGAGGAGGAAGAAGTAGACTTTGTTGAGGAGCACCTTGTGCTGTAACTGCCTGATTCAACATGCTAAATGGCTTTACCTCATGCTCATGTTGGGATTTTTGCATCTGTAGATGTATCTGGAAATCCTTAGACATGTTGGTAGCTATCATTTTTGTGAAAGCTTCAACAGCTGAAACAAATTATGATGTTTCTCTCCTCTTTGTCCCCATATTTCTATCTGACAACAAATACAGACAACAATTTAACAGGCTTCATAGTACAAAACACAGCTAAATTAGTTTAGTACTCATATACATGTGGAAATGTAGATGTATTCTTTTTATAATTTTGGACGTGGAAACAATTTTTGAATCTGTTAACAGGTAATGAGCTACCATTCTGTATTCATGACCCACATGACCAATGCCAAACTTATAATGTTTTTCCATGACACAGTACAGGTATAATCTAAATCCAGAACTACCCACACCATGCTCTAATACCACTGTCAAACATGAAAGTGGAGGGGCTCCCTCTTTCTGCTTTGTGAGCCGCAATATAAGAAGTTGAGCTACCATCAAAAATACATTATCTATAATAATTTATCATTTAGCCATTATGCATTCAGGATTAATGACTGTGTCTTTAATGATGCAATGTCCCAGACATACACTGAGGATAGCGAAGCTAATGTTAGCCTAAGGCTGCTAGCCTCAGTGTACTTCTGCAACATTAAAAACAGTCTGTGCAGCGCTTCATTACACCATTAAACACACGGCCATCATTAAACTCACACTTGAAAGCATTTTGGCCAAATGATAAAATTATAGATGACAAAATTTAGATGGTTAAAAAGACAGTAGCATCTGTGCAAACATGCCCATGTGAGCCACTGAGGGCTCTCTGTGGGCTGTGTGGGTTCAGCCTAGCCAATAGATAATTCTGTATTTGCCTACATCACTGAACCCACAGTGGGCCCCAAAGGGTTTCTGTTTGGGCAGTACACCACTGGGCTGGCCCACAAATAATATGACACAGGCTCAAGTTCTTATGACAGGTTGTCAGTCTGTCTTCCATTTGGGTATTACTTTCATTATTCTATGGCATTAGTGTGTCAACTTGGTCTAACAATGTTGGTATAATAAAGTCAGTTGAACGTTGCTATGACATCCGTTCTAAGTGTCCTGATTATTGGTATATCAGTATAATTTCCTTGTAAAACACTGTGACTACAAAATAAAACATTGTCTGCCATTATGGAAAATAAATAAAATAATGAATCTGTGTCTGTATTTTTAGTCAGGTTTATACTTAAGCAAAATATTTTAGAACATATTACATTTTAACATCATAACATTGAGGTAATGTATACACATTGGCATACTGTTAATGGCCCAGCTGTGGAAAACCCACACAAATCCACCCAGCCCCATTTAAAGGCACTAAGTTTGGGTTGCCCACATATAACATGAAATGGTGGGCACGTATGGGCCTCGATGTTGGAGTGCCATCCCAGCAATGGGCTAAAAATGTGATCTATAAATGTGGCCCACCACAGGCTACACACTGTGGAGCACGAAAGAGGGGCATGTTTGGACCCCTATGTTGGCAGTCCACCATAAGCCCCAGTATAAGTGCCATATGAGGGCTCAGTGTTCCCACCCACCTAGCCCATTTGTTAAATGGGATTGAACCGGTCTGATGCTACTAAGACGCCTTGGTACTACTGGCTCCTAACCCTAGAGAAAATTAGGGCAGAATGCAAATTTAACTCCGCGATCACTTTCAGGGTCCCAAGCCAAGCACACCTGTCCAGATCCTATGTCCATACATCCTCCCAAAAGGAAGGGCTTCTGGCGTTCATATAATAGTGCCAGTAACTCAGACCCTAAATCTTTGTTGCAAACCCTGAAATGCTTGTAGACTTTTTATCAGTGTAATGAGTGATAAGGTAAAGTCTGCACATTTACATTGCATTACAATGTGACATTAGTTCTCCTCCCATTCAAAGACAATGACAATGCTGTAGCCTCAGAATATAACATTTATTAAAAACAAACTACAACATTTACATTTAACAAGCTCAACTTTTGTTTCTTACTTTCACTGTGTTAGAGTTAAATATTTTAAAATGAAAAGTAAAATAACGATAAACAGTTAAAAACCATAGTAAAATATACTAAAAACAAATTAGAAGACCTTTACATCACAAGCACTAACTGATTAGTTTTGAATTCAACATTTTTGGTAATTTGTCTGTTTAAATATTCAAATAAAAAAAAAAGAACTAACCTTAATTTTAAAATTGTCCATTACAGATATGATAAACAAATAAAGCAGTTTCTACTTTTTACATACGAAAATAAGAGTGAATGGATCTTTAAATGTCAATTTTCAAAAAAAAAGATATGAACAACAAATGCAGCAATCAGAAAATCTGTTTACATCAAAACAAATATATTCACAGACAACCAAAGACTTCTCAAATATTCAAAATGTAAGGCTTTTTATATCAGTGTCTTCACACATGCCTTGAATTTCTTTGTCAGAGGAGGAGTCTTATGGTAAGAACCAGTAAAACGCTTGTTGTTTGTCGACCCGATGTAACGTGATATGTGCAGAGCTCAGTCTTGTGATTTCAGAAGATTTGCAGAAATCCACATTCACCTGGGCATATTCATTCATTCATTCATTTGCTATTGACCCCAGTGGTGTAGTTTTTTTCTTCCTGTCACAGAGAAAAAGAAACATTAACACAAGGGCCATATAATATGTTTTTAATGAAACTGAAAAAAGCTATTTAACATCAGGGAGAGATGCTGATCAACTGGGGTACATGGGAGCTCCTGTGAGCATGATGATCTTCAGAGGAACTAGAACCCAGACAGTGAAACTGAATGATGATCTTTGGGTTCTGAAACCTTTAAAGAATCATTTTCAGACTCTTTCACTTTTGATTCTATGGATTCTGAGGAGGAATCTGAGGAGGATTCTTCTAGGGAATCATAACACAGCCTCGATTTTGTTTTTCTGCAGGATCTGGAGTTGCCCTTGATGTCATCAGCCGGTGACGTAGCAAAGCCAATGGCAGGGGATACAGCGAAAAGTCCAACTGCAGACCTTTGGATTACTCTCACAGCAGCTGCCTCTGAGACAGTGTTAAATGGAATGTAAAATTGTACTGACACTGCCTCAGAGTGGCATATGATCTTTGGACCTTGCTCCTCTCCTGGGGGCTGATGCCTTTTGTCTTTAAGTACACAAGAACATAGATCTTAGATAACAAAGTCCCTCTCATAGCGAGGACTGCAAGAAGAAACAAGTTTCAAAGCTCATGTGGAATGGCATACGGAGGTTCATATTTGGCAAGAGGTGTATTTCCCCCCAAATATTGTCCACTCCATCTGGAAATATTCCAGTAGTTTTCTACATTGCTCCCCTGATAAACTAAAAAAAGAAACTGGGTAAAAGACCACACAGGAGACCTTACTTGATGTCCAGGAATGTGGTCATCCACCCATGTTCCTCATATGTCAGGCAGATTTGGGCAAGATCATAAGTGCCTGCTGATTTATGTTTTTCAACCTTCGTGGGGAAAAAAATAAATAAATAAAAAAAAATAAAAAACACACATTAGCACAAACTTAGCTGTAATTTGAAAGTAAAATAGACTGATTATATTAAAAGAACTTACTTCAGTCAACACAGTCAATGAGATGGAGGAGGCAGAGGTCAACAGGAACAGGCATGTTTGTCATTGCTCCTATTTGGCGTCCCATTCCCACAGCTACATAACGTGGAGTCCAAAATCGAAATATATTGTGAAATTGCATGATTTTTTCTTCAGCATTGCTGTAAAAGATCTTACTAGCCAGAGCACGATCACTGAGGTGTAAGAAAGCATCAGTGAATAATATGGCTCGAAAAGTCCATGTCACAACAAAGACTTCTTACTCTGATTGACGCATGTTTCTTCAAGAAGGCATAGTTACCCTTTAGCAGATTCCCTTCCCCAGTAAAAATGAGAAACCTGTGAATCTGGTCAATTGCAATTACCCCCTTTTCCTTTTTTTGGCGGGTGGATTTCCCCCACAAGAAATTCCAAATAATCAGTCAGCTTCCGCTCTGTAAAATGTAGTTTAAGTACATCAACATATAATGTAAATGAAGTGTATACAAGATAAATGTGTATTATACAAAATAATGTTACATACTGTATTTGGGGGACTCCACCACAGTAAAAGAGCAGCTGAACTTCTATCACTGCTTTTTTCGTTTGTCAATTACGACACGTTCTTCCTGGACTTTTAATCTTTCTGCCTTTGCCTGGCAGTTCTGGGGAAAGGGCACTCAACCCCTGGTTTCTGGCCCCAGCTGCAATTGGAGGACAATTATTTCTTTTTCCAGCTCAGCAACTGTTTTCTTTTTATGCCCACAGACAGTACAGTTGGTTTTGATGGAGTTTGGCTCAAGCAATTCCTTTTCAAGTTTTTTGGCTGGCTCAGGTGTTTGAGACAGCCATGATGAAGAAACCTCAGCTGAAGGACCAGGTGGAGAGGAAGGACTAGGTGGAGTGGAAGGAGCCATTCCTTTGTCAGAGTGTGAACTAAGTAATGATTCACGCAAGGTGAGAGAGCAGCTTAAGAAGATGGAGCCTTTTCTTGGTCAGCAGATGAAGTAAGTGGGAACTCTAATACTCATAAAAAAATGTAAATTATATTTACAGTAATTTAGAAATGTATTATGTCTTAGTTATGTCACTATAATAAACACATCCTTACTTCTACTTTGTGGAAAGCATGGTAGTATTTTTTGCCACAGTTTGGCACTTGGCAATTGAAGATTCTTTTTATCCCTAATAAAAACACAGACAGCAATTACAATACCAGTCAATTAGTCTCACACAGACAAACACACAGGACATCACTTTTCTGGACTTCCACTTGCAGGACCACAGGGGAGACTCCTCAACCTGTGGCACTGAATCCAAGGTGAATCCAGCAGGGTAGACAGAGAAAAGGAGGTAAATTAGGCAAATAAATAGCAGCGATAAAGAAACTGTGGATATCAAGATGGTGTTCCTTACTGAAGAAAAACTCACCTGAATCTACACAAAACACATGGAGATTTTATTATAGCCAATCAGAGGAAAACTCATTGCCTCATTGACACGCTCCAAGAGGTCATTCAGCCTTCTCATTCTGGATGTACAAATAACAGGTCAGTTTAAATTCAGCTGCAGAAACTGTTGAATAAAATACAGCTAAAGCCATTCATAAAGTATTATTATGAATGCCATTAAATGTCTCGTATGTGCAGTTTAAAAGAACACCTCCAGTATAACATGCTAAAGACACAGCACAGTGAGGGAAAAAAAATAATAAATAAAATTACCCGACCTGCCTGCTGGATGAACAGCATACCACATTTACAAGTGCAGTAATGAAGAAAACTTAAGATAAAGATATTATGCAAGAGAGAATGCGATTCAATAGAAAGACTACAAATGAAGTGAGTCCCACATTTAAACATCAAATACATTTAAATCAATAACAGTATATAGATGAATGCAAATGAAGAAGCACACTGAGTGATCCTAAACATAGTTATGCATTGCAGTTTGAATGTCTATATACAGTTTAATTTAGAGAGCACCTTGGCAGTTTGACCTCCCAGCAGTTTAGTGTAAAGAACACATTGCACAGTTTGATTTGTTTTCAGTTTCATGCAGAGAACACATTGCACTGACTGACTTCCAAACACAGTTTAGCAGATAGAACGCATTGCACAGCTTGATTGTCCATACAGTTTAGTGCAGACAACACACTGTAGTTTGGGCTCACACCAAATGTTGCATAGTTTGACCTCCCAACAGTTTAAGGTAGAGAACACATTGAAGTTAAATACCCCTACGCAGTTTAAAGAACAGCCTGTACAGTCTCAGCACACATACACAGTTTAGAAAAGGCCTTGCACATTTTGACCTCCCAGCAACAGGTTAGGGTATAGAATGCATCACAGTTTGAATACCCATACGCAATTTAGTTTAGAGAATAACTTACATATTCTGAATACACATACACAGTTTAGTGTAGAGAACATCCTTCAGTTTTTGACCTCCCAACAACAGTTTAGTGTAGAGAATGCACTGCAGTTTGAATATCTATACACAGTTTAGAGAGCAGCTTGTGCAGTTTAACCTTCCAACAACAGAGTTCAGTGTAAAGGACACATTACCGTTTGACCTCCCAGCAGTTTAGGGTAGAGAACGGCTTGCACAATTTGACCTCCCAACGGCTTAGTGTAGAGAAAACACTGAAGTTACTCTCCTTACACGAAGTTTGGAGAACGTGGATCACTGATCATTCAAATACAGTGTAGAGAATACAACATCAGTGCAGCATACCACTGGCATAGGCAAAAATAAATTTTCAGGTATACCTGTGTGGAAAAAGTGGGTTCGACAACTTGGTAGAAGGAAATTCCAAACACACTATGTACTGCAATGTTGGAACTTCATACTATAACCAACTACTGATGGAAGTGCAGTCATCATTATACCTTTTCCAATAGTTGTACCCTGATACAAAACAATAGCAAGAATAATCTGACATCAAGCAGAATGATGGATTTACATGCACCCCAATCAACAGCACACTTAAATATAAAACATACATTTGCTTACCAAAGCCACAACTAAATTACATTACATAACATAACAATGCTAGTCAGCAGGGAAATTATTTGCACAAGAGAATCTCCAAAAAACTAGAGAGGACCTTAGTATCCTCAACGTAGCTGAAGATGGGACAAACACTGATAATGAACTGAGGTTTGGAGAAAATGGCGGATAGCAGTGGTTGTTAAGGAGTGATTGGAGGGCTGGGAAAATAAGGCAGAGCTTGGCAGAGTGAGTTATTACTTTGACTGACCATAAAGTGAGAGCATTCAAAGAAAAGAAACTATTAAAAAAAATAAATAAATAAATAATAAAAAAATATAAACACACACCCAGGCTAGGCCCCAGAAACAGATGCACACCCAGATATTCCAAATCTGGTTTACAAATCTGGATTGATCGAGTTCTTCTTTTGAAACCACTCCATGTCGCAGAAACAAAGAAAACAGAGGTTAATGAAAAAAAAATAAAATAACAGATAACAGATAATGCATTTCGCAATGTTTTGTGTACTGGATGGATACAAATGGAAACAAAGCTGCAGAAAAAGCCACAGAAAAATTTAAATACACACAAAATAAACACAATGCAAAGAGTCAAACAAAAAGCAGTAGTAAGAGGCAAATATGGGGTCCTACCATGCTGGCTCACATTTTCTCTGATCACTGACTTGCACTTCATCCTCTGGTCAGTCCAGCCAGGCACAGATGTCCGCAAGTCAAAGCCAGGAGAAACCTAGTTCAGAACAATTCCATGTTACTTTAAAAATTTTTAAATTTGGATTCACCAACATTCATCGTAATTTATACACATGCACACAACAATGGCAATAATTTCATGTCAAATCTTTTCACCCTATCATCTGCTCATTTGCACACAAAGCTTAATGAAATCAAACCCAGTGTTTGTCGATAGCTGTGTTCAACAGGGTCTCATTACAGGTCACCACTTTTCTGGACTTCTTCCACTTGCAGGAGCCCCAAGGGGAAACCTCAACCTGAGGCACTGGGTCCAAGGTGAACCCAGCAAGGTGGACAGAGAAAAGCAAGAAAATTAGGCAAATGAAGAAAGTCAGATGCTGAAGACACTCTGTGGATATTGAGGTGGTGCTTCTTATTGAAGAAAGACTTACTCGGACAGATGTCCACATAAAACACAGGGAGATGATATCTTGCCCAATCAGAGGAAAATTATGCCACACTGACATGCTCTAATACTACCCTTGAGCTCAGACACTGCCAAAAAGAAAAGCCAGTGCCAGTACCTAGAAAGAAAGATACAAAATTACACATGGCATAAATGCAAAACAATGCATTTCAAGTCCTTACATTAGTGTTAGTTTAACTGCTTCATAATTAATCGGTCTTTGCTTCATGCTTGAAGACCACGAGGGAGCCTGCTGTGTGGACCATGTTGTTTATTAAGTAGCGATGGTGTGAAGATGATGTGAAGGACAACTCCTTTAACACTGTGTTGCTAGTAAAATGTTTATTACAAAGTAAAACAGTATCATATCAAGCACTATAAAGTACCTGAGAGAGGATCCGTGCCAATTCTAAATGTCCCCTCTCGAACAGAATATTCCAGCTGTTTATATAGTGGACTTGTTGTTGAAACCGAAGACAGAACATATGGTCCTTTTTAAAATGATCTCATCTATTTGGAACTAAGAGAAGAAGGGAGAAAGTGAGAGGCTTACTTCCTATGGGGCTTTGGACCAAGGGGCCCCCCAATTCACATTCCTAACCCCTGCACAAACAGAGCACACAGAGAGCTCCAGGCCCCAAATTCATGCTGAAAGAGTGTTTTTACCTTCTTCTATAAAAATGTTCCTTTTAAATATACTTCAACCACCAGTGGAAGCTCATTCCACCATCTGGGTGCCAGGACGGAGAGAAGTCTTGATGCTTGTCTTCCATAAATCTGTAGTGAACACTGGCTGAAACTTTACTTCAAGGCTGAGTGTTTACGTAACTTATTAACAATCCAAAAGTTAAGGGCCTTTTGGCTTCAGCAAGTCTGGAGTTGAAAGTGTAAATCTGTCGACTTAACACTCCCAACCCCAAACTCAGTCAAATTTACGGCTGAATCAAGAACCAGCACCCCTCTCCCTCGACCGAGGGGGCAACAGAACACCTCCCTGGAATTTGGCCACATGGCTCTCCAAAGTCCTGTGGACAACTTTATCTTTAAGTAACAGAAAGTACATCTCTAAGGTATATATCCACTCCAAACTGCAACAATTCATTAGAACTCTTTTTAACTACACTAGACGTACCAAGGACGGAACTGATACAACAATCTGGACTGCAAATTTAAACTTTCTAAATTCCCTGAGGATCTCAAGCATGGCCCCAAAGCAACCCCCAAAGGGGTGAAAACGAGAATTACCACATCACCACCGTAAGGACTGTTGCTCACAAAGGACCCCAAGAAAACTCATTGATATGCATGTTTGACTATTAACTTTATCTAATTTGCGAGTGATGATGCTTGTATTTGTGTGCTTAGTTACTTAAAGCGTGTATTTTCCTTTCTTTTACCAGACGTTAGGAACGTGTGGGATAACTGTCTGCAAGTTACTGATATAACCATTTAAAGTAGTGATTTTAGAACACTAAGTTTGCACCTAGGTTTTCTTTTCACTTGTTTTATTTAGCCTTCTATTTTACTCTTCTCGTTTACTTGATTTTATTCTTTAGAAATAATGATTTTACTGTGTTGAAATTTCCTGCAATGAAAAGACCCCCGAGGATTACCTATAGGATTGTTTCTGCCTTTGCCATAGTTGTTCTCAGATAATGTGGGTAGAAACTGCACGCTGATACCTGAATGTTCTGTTTGCCTGCTGTGGATTTTAGGAAGTAAATTGAATGATCTGAAATGGTTTTGTTTAATCTAATTAAAACTTTTGAGACCTAGAGGGAACAAAGAAGGGAGTTTCCCTGGGAAGGCTCTCACAGTGAAAGCACCACCAATCAGAATCTAAGACTAATAATAGCCACTTACCCATTAGGTGAAAAGACCTATCAATACCTTTGCTCCACCCCAAAGGGAAGGGCCAACAGTCGGGCAAAACGCGCACGCCAGTTCCTATTAGTTCAGAGTCCTGCGTTCTCAACAAGAGGATAGCTAAATTTCTAAGTTTGTGCCGGCCTTGGTCAGAAAGACAGGTCAGAAGTATTAGAATGCTAAATTTTCAGATCTGAAACCTTTGTTTGTTTTGTAACTTGCCTGTTCGTCTACACACCTTAAGTTTAAACCACCCTCAGAGAAGGAAGGTGGATATTTCTTGTCTGGCCAGGGAGAATATATCCATAACTTTCAATTCTGCTAAAGAGAGGTAGTTAGTTAAATTAATATCACCAGCCTCAGAACCCTGATTGCAACCTCGCCAGCGGAGCAGCTCTGACGCCACAGAGACCCGGCATCGCACCCACAGCCATGCACTAATCTGTGAGCAGATTGACCATTGAAAGGCTGCCCAAGCTCCACCCTCAGACGGCCACGAGACGCCTGCGCCCAATCACTGATGGAAGGGTGCGTGCCCGCATGGAGACGCAGCATCCACGAACAACGAGGAGATGAGTCAACGCGTGAGCTCCAGCCTTTGATCGAGCCGGTACTGAGACGACCCCTCCTGAAGTCACCCCCCGACTCCCACGTAAGCTGGTTCCAATTTGCAGTCAGGGCCCTGAGACCAATTTATTTAATAAGTGAAATTTTAATAGGTACATCCAGCCATATAGTTATTCCTGTCCATACTTAGGTTAACTCTCTAAAGACTCTTTCAAGTCGAGCGACTTCCCAAGAACCACACTGCCTCACACCATTTAGCTGTAAATCACTTTACTCAAGCTATTTTGTCCTTTTGACTTTCATTATTATCATTTTTGTTTTGTTTTGTTTTATTTTCTGTTGTTTATCATTGAATGTAGTCCAAAAGTAGTTTGATATTTAGCCAAAAAATTCCCTTTTACTGAAGCATCCATGGTTGCAAGCGTTTCTCTCTCTTGCCCTGGTCTGTGGACTTCAAATAAATCTGGGTTACTCCACACCCTTATCTAAGGTTCTAGCAATAGTAACATTAAAATTGCAAAACTGTTTCAGAGAATGGGAGAGGTTAAAGCCAGAGGGTAGAGCCACTGACTTGCAAGTCCCTGTCGAAGGCATGAAGTGCAGCAAAAGAAATCATGCTAATGCTGAGATAAGGTCTGCCTTTTGGACTGCAAATTGACAGTTCCAGCGGTTCCTGCGACGACGATGGGGTACTCTGGATCTGTGGGATATGTAAATAGGTATTGAAAAACACACGTTGGAAGTGCAAAAATGCAGTAATTAGTAGAAAAGTACTAAATGAAAAATAATAAATTGATGGGTCCCATCTCTGTGTTGATCAGTAAAATTAGATTGCTATGTCCACCTAGCCACCACATTCACATCTGTTGTATATCCCTCCTCAGTTCATCGGCTAGTGACTGCTAGCCCAGTTCCTACAATTCACACCTTAGGCCAACCTGAAACAACATCTGAATCTAGTATTTAGTATTAAACACTAGGTTCAACAAAACAGCCTTGTGACTAGGCAATTTTAAGACAAAAAAGTAAAACATAGCTTACTTTGTGTAAGCAGCATAAAAACAAATTCCAGTCTGTTGTTACAAGCACACACAAATCCATCTGTAGAACATCATTATTGTTGAATAAATTGCAGCTAAAAGCATTGATTGAGTGCAAACATGAAGTCACACGTCTGTAAAGTGATTTACAAACAGTAACTTTAAAGAAATTTCACACAACATAGTGGGAAAACTAATCACCCCATAGTTATGTCCAGTGCCTACAGTACAAATACAACATATCCCCATGAGTACTGTTAAAAAAAATACAAATAATTTAAATTATATGCAAGAGAAAATTAATCATTGCAAATAGATTTAATACGATTTAATTAAAGAAACCCAACCGAACATAAGAGTATTTCACAATACATAAATCATCAAGAGCTCACAGTACACAGTTGAATGTGAAAAAGTAACATTGAATGATCCTAAATTCACTTTATCATCCAGAACACAAAGTAGTCAGAACTCCCAACACAGTTTAGGGTATGCATTGCATAGTTTAACCTCCCAACAACAATTTAGTGTACAACACAGATTATCAGTGAGAAATCAGTGCACAGACTGCTGCTCCAAACACATGCATGCACATGTAGCCAATATAACACCAATGATTAACCACCCTATACATTTCAGTTTGGTGTAGAAAAGTCAAGACAGAATGATCCTGGAAACACAAATTTGTCCCATTCCAGCTTGTGGAAGTTCTTCTTCTAAGATTAGAGAGTAGATTAGAATTGTTTTTTGTAATCACTGAGTGATCACTGCACACATAAGTTTCAGGTGATAGTTATAATGTGTATATGACTGTGATTGTTTTACAGTAACTGAACTTAACAGCACAGAGAAGTATTCAGGTATTTACTCCCTAAAATACACACAAAACTGAGGAAATGAAACAGAATATTACAAAAACAATAATAAAGGGCAGGGTGATTTTTGGGTGGGTTCTTTAGAGCTGCTCTGGTGGGTGAAACATCCTAGGGAAAGTAAACATCTCAGACACCACTTAAGGTGGAACAGAATTTAAGATGGAATGGAAAATTTCACGTACGAAGCTTGAGGCGCGAGGCCGTAACTGCTCATCATTTAAGGTTGGACAGAAAACAAATACGAATGAAACTAAAGCCTCGTAAGAAGAGTAAAGCGTTTTCGCGAGATACAGGTGTTTACTTCCTGTAAGATGTTCCACCCTTTAGCTCAGTGAAGGAGAGATAGAGTTAAACTACCGTTAAGTCTCTTTATTCTTCGCTCTTCCTCAGCGCTTCTACGAACGGAGACCGATCTCAGATTTCTGTAGGAAAATAAACAGCGACTAAACGGCGCTCACCGTTTTGCAACACTGAAGCGGAAAGCGGGAAAATCAGGCTGACTGCGCGCGTTATAAGGCCTTGATCTGTGCGCGCGCAGTCAGCCTGATTTTCCCGCTTTCCGCTTCAGTGTTGCAAATCGCGCCAAAATTATCAGAAGAAAAAACAAGCGCAGAGCTTAAATTGGGTTTCTTTTTCCAGATTTCCGTTCCGCCTTAAATAGTGCAGCAGATTCTGGTGCCTCGGGCTCCGATAAATGTGCGATAGAATTGAAGGTGGAATGGAAAATTTCACATAGGAAGCTTGAGGTGCTACAATGTAACTGCTGCACCATTTAAGGTGGAACGCAACACTCATTTGAGAAGCCTGATACGCGAAGCTGTAACTGTTGACCATTTAAGATGGAATGGAAAATTCGAAAAGGAATTTTAATGAAGCCTGGTAAGAAAAATTTTCGCGGGAAACGACGCGCGCTTTAATTTGAAGGCTTTAATCTGCGCGCGCTGTTGAGTGTAGTTTAGTGATTAATTCATTTCCCACAGACGACAGACATGAATCTCCGTTTGTAGAAGAGCAGAATTAAAACACTGCGGCAGTTTATCTCTCTTCTCCACTGAGCTGAGAAGCAGAACTCTCAGAGAACCGTCCTCACTGTTCTGCTGAACATCACAGCTCGGTTCTGCACTGATATTGTTCAGAGAACCCAACAGACTTAAAGTGAAGGTCAGTTAGTTACAGAGAGCAGCAGCGCAAGTCTTACCTACTGAACGTCCGACAGAAATGAGTGGAACCCCGCACATCTGTATATGTATATTTTCCAGCTTCCCATAATGCACTACTACTGCACCACGTGTTCTGTTAAAACGTTATTTTTTATTTATCTTTTATCAACTACTGTTTTGCACAGATTTTTGATGTGACACAGCTGAGCTGTGCAGTGCAAGAGGAGACCCTATCTCACCTCTTCTTCACCATCTAAACATTCTTCTCTCCCAGTAGAGCAGTTTTACAGTCCTCTGCCAGCTGAACATGACTGTAGATGTATCAGTTGAGAGAGGCAGAGCGGGCAGTGACCCGTTTAATGAAGGCTGAAGTCACCAAACCGCAACGAGCGAACAGTGATGTGACGTTTGATAGCTAGGCTTAAAGTCTGCTGATTCATCATAGTTAATCAAAGCTTGTATCATACTTACTGTTATCACATTACTATGAAGTCTTGAGCTTCGTAAAACTTTAACCCTCTGGGTCACAAACTCGCCCGCGTGTTAAATTCAATGTCTCTATATATGTTTCTCTATCTTTGCGATAATACAGCACAGAAATGGTTCGAACATTTTCTGAACCGATTTCATCTTATGCTGAGTTCAAATGTGACATCCAGACTTATGAGGCTATGAAGAGGACACGTGTGAGATGGCTTGAAAAAAGTTTACAACCGCTGAAGTTGCTGCTGCGGTTTTGAGAAGTAGCGATGAAGGTAAAGTATTTTGATATGAAATACATGGGTATCATGTTATATGCAAGTTCCCTTAAAGGCGAATTCAAGAAGCAAAAATGTCCTTTGACCTCAGAGGGTTAATAACTAATCTTGGTTATCAGAAGATCATTATGAAGGCAAACTCTTCTCATGCACACATGAACACGTGCTACAAGTGATCTTTATCCAAAGCGTTTAAAGCCAGTGCACAGTAATGACACCTGGTTAAAAGTCTGAATCTGTGCCCAGGGATGTTTCAGGATAAAAGTCCAATGATCTCTCTAATTCCTCCTGTTCTGAAGTTTTCTGGTTAAAATAGAGACTCCAATACTGATAACTAAAATCTTAGTGCAGAGAATCATAGCTTGCACATTTTTAAACAAAATATATAACATTTTTCAGACTGTTAATAAATCTAAACACAAATGGATGAATAAATAAATCCTGAACAAACTACAGAAAATATTCCAGTTCCAAAACTACAGCGAGACACAGATATGATGAGAAAAGAAATAAATGTTTCTATGGACTGAACTGTAGCTGTTCTTTATGAGCTCACTATTTCACTTTCACTGCATCTCTCTTTTCCTCTCCTTTCTCCACCAGCATCTGCCACTTCTGTCTTGTCTTCATTCAACCATCCTTTAAAGGAGGACAAGATTCAAACAGACTGGACAACGCCTGAGAGAGAGAGGGAGAAAGAGAGAGAGAGAGAGCTAAACTAGTATTGTTCACTCTGCCATTCACAGCCTGACAAAACACAGGAACACAAACACAATGAACTACTTACACAGTCTGAAGCAAGTTACAGTGCTGCTCGAACGTTTGTGAATCTTTTATCATTTTGTGAATTTCTACATAAATGGGACCTAAAATATGATCAAACCCAGTAAATCGAACCCAATAAAACAAATAACAGAAAAAAGTATATGATTTTTCATTCATATATTGATCTTACTAATCTAATGTTAAATGTCTTTGTTTGCAAAAGTATGTGAACCTAGCTGCTTAATCTTCTTGCTTTTTTTATTAATCATTTTGTGGACCATGTACTAACAGGCCAGTCATCAGCCCAGCAAATCATGAGCCCTGACCGTCATCATCTGGGTGAAGGTGTAGCTGCAGATGTCATGATTGCTAATGGCTTCAGTGAGGTGGTCAACACATCTGCCATACACAGTTTCAGTACTTACAGTAGTAGAAGGCTTTACAATGTTATGTAGCCTTTGCAGATGATATGTTTATGTATTTTTAT